GGAGGACACAGGATCTACATGTGTGTATTTTGAAAGACAGATGAAGCAGAGAAGGTATCAGGCATTTTTATTTCAGAACTATATATTAACTGAGCAGGTCTTTGAACTTAATCGTAAATGAAATTTCACAATAACCTGCAGTTTCAGCAGAATGAATGGAGGATTCCTAATATGCTAATATGACTAGTAGCTGTGTGAATTGCACATGGTATATAAAAAGCATTTGAGTATTATAGGAAATAAAAAGAAAAAAGAGCAACAATCTCTCAACCGCAGAAAAACAAGCAGAAAATGGCTGTTTTCTTGTTTTAGTTGGAAAAGACTTTGAAGCCAAAAAAAGCGAGAAACTTAATTTCACCTTGACTCTGTCTATAGTGAACAGTGAGTGATCATTAATATGTGGGATAACACCAGGGTACGGATTCACACATCCAATTCAGAGTATAACTACATGGAAGGTCATTCCACCCGGGATCAAAATTTCTGGTCCTCTGGTGCACGCAATCTTCATTTCCATTGTAGTCATCAGGCTGCTTTACGCTCGACAGCCAGTATCTGGAGACAGCAGGAGGTAATGGTGCAACGTTACAGTACAGTAGGACTCAGTGATGTGCGATATTAATATCGGCATCACAAGTTATACACATGTAATCCTCACATTTCAGAAGGGTTGAGATCGAGCTTTTGCACACCTTCATACTGTACAAGCATTATACCAGAGTAGAAGACATTTTCCTAAACAACCTTGTTTTTCAATACAGTTCAGGTACTTAGAAATTTTGGTGATAAAATTCACAACAGTGGGGGGGGGGGATGTTTTGCTAGAACATTCATATTCTGCTACAGGAAACAAATCTTAACAAGCATTGCAATTTTAATGATCGTTCCTTTTCAAGACTCTAGTATATGTTTAAAAATGAAAGTTCACCTCTGTGATGGTTACAGATCTCAAACATTCTCTCTCCTCCTTAGCTGATTACTTGTACATTTTCTTTAATCAAACTGCTTTATTTGGAATACTAATGCATAGTTTACAGTTGATTTGCTTTATTCTTTATATTTTATATGCAGTGCACATATTGACATTGTAGGGTTCATATGCAGTGTTTTGCCTCATTAATCTTTTGATTTTTGTAGTTACTGGTTGTGGGGGATGGTCCTCTACTGGTTGGTATAAAGGGGTGGCGGAGGGCGGAGGTCTCTTAAAGGGAAAAACCCTTGGAGCTGGATTGAACCATGTGCCATGGCAAGAGGGGGGAGTTGGGGTTAGCTGTGTTTGTTTTTAGTTGTATGTAGTGTTCACTTGGTTTATCCCATTTGTGTTAATTGATTTGGCCATTTATTATTCTACAGAATTGATATGACCACACTGCAAACAAAAAATAAGTCTAAAGTCTAAACTGACTGACTAGTAAATAAGTGTCACACGGCGCTGTTTCTGCCTCCAGGAAGTCCAGCGTCTCTTTTTCACAGATACAGGACTTCCTGCATAAAAAGGGTCAAAATGTGTTACCTTTTCTTGCTTTAACACGCTCAGAATTCACATGTTGACGCACACATTTTGTATGGTTCACAAACTATTAAAGATGTTTTGGAATTTGCACAGATCATATATTCAACGCGCATTTTGATGGTGCTTTGGTATTTATGTCAAAGGCTGAAAGTGTGAATGTCACACCAGATGTGTGAGAGATGGCAGCCCTGGTAGGGAACAGTGCTTAGGCTGGTGTCTCTAATGTAAAGATGTTAACTGAACTGCAGCACTAGGCAGACCCAGGCATCACAGCAGCAGGAACGAGACCAGGCAGTTTATTTAAAGGAAAGTGCAATTCCATTGCGAGCCTCCAAAAGGACTGAACATAGCTACAGTATCAAACACCAACTCATTCACACACCTACATATTCTGCCCACTGGGCAGACTGTCCCTACTGCTCCAGTAACACGCGGTGGGCACACACACATCATACACAACACATAACATCAAACACTATACAAGACATTACCTCACAACACAAAAACAACACAATAGATGCTAACTACACACAGCTATTTACATTATGTACACAGCTGGCACCGGTCCAGCATGCCACACTGCCTGGTGCCCCCCCAGCGCTACAGTATTATGGAGTACTGGTTACCACTGTACACTGTATAACCGCTTTTTGGAGAAGGATTTTAAAATTCAGAACTATTCAGGTAATTCTATCAGTGTGACATTGATGAATTAGATCATTCACTGTCTGTCTGTGTACTTATGCTGATCCTGGCCTTTCTCTCTACGTCTTTGTAATTGTGCTCAGGCTGGTCTTACCCTTCATCTACAGGAATTGTTGTTCCATCCACCCATTTCCAGGTTCCTTCTCTCTCTCTGTCACTGAGACCAATCCAGAAATCTCCAGGAATGCTGTTCATGAAGTCCTACAGTTTTAGAAATATCACAATGAGTGAAAGCTCATTTTATGAAAGTTATTTATTTTGAGATAGTAAAGGTGACCTTGGAATATAAATAATTCTCAGCCTCTGGTTGGTCCTGGTAGCTAATTGGACAGCCAGGGGCAAATCACTTCAAGATTGTATAATAATAATAATATGATATTTGTAATGTCTAATATATCTTATTTTCTCTTATTTTGTTTAATATATTGGGAAATACGAGTGTAATTGTCAGGACCTGCCTGTACGATCCTCGAGTGTGCCACGCCCCCATATTAACCACGTGTGCAACCCCGATTGTGACCAGCTGTTTTCTGTCAGTTTGATTCATCCGGTGTATTTAAGTCCACATCAGTATCTACAGTATAACCTCAGGTCTATCACTGACGTTTTGATGTTACATGTTCCTGTGTCCTGCATTTGGAGTGATTCCAAATTAAACCCTTCGATCCTGATTCCTCGTCTCCCCATTCCTGCTTCCGTCTCCAGCAATCATAACAGTAATGGTGACTAAAGGGTGTTATTTCATATCTAGAGGGCTCTAATAATCTTAAAAACCGTATTTAGAAGGTCGTAAACAGGTTTTCTATGCTCTAACTACGAAAATATTTGATTTCTAAATAAAGAACCCTACTTTGTGGAAATTCACTTATCGCGGTAGAGTCTGGAACTGATTAACCGCGATGAACAAGGGCTGACTGTACCATAGATTATATATACTTCGGGGTATATGTTAAATCTTATCAAGGCATTGATCCCATCCAGGGACTCAGGCTTGGAGCCTCTCCCAGGCAGCACAGGGCATAAGGTGGGGCTACATCTTGGATGGGATGCCAGTCCATCACAGGGCATAAGGCGGGGCTACACCTTGGATGGGATGCCAGTCTATCACAGGCCATAAGGCGGGGCTACACCTTGGATGGAATGCCAGTCCATCACAGGGCATAAGGCGGGGCTACACCTTGGATAGAATGCCAGTCTATCACAGGTCACACAAACATAAATACCGTTTAACCCTGTATTTATCTCACCTGCTCCTCTCTGCTGCTGATGATCGCCAGGTCGGTTCCTGACTGCATACAGGCCTGTCGGCTGTCATTCCAGGTCTTCTTCTCAGTGGAAATGTAGTAACAGCTGCATTTGAATCTCCTCCAACCCAATGGACAGATGTAACCTGAGGTCCAAAGGCACAGTCCGGCATTGAAGATGGCTGTGACTGTAATTATGGGTTTGTTCAAAAACCCAGATATGTCACAGCTTATGTTTGTGCACACAAAGTAAAGATTACATATAATTTTGTTGTCATAGGATATCTAAACGCATCATTTTGTATTGTCTCCCCTGGATTTACATTTACATATTTAATTTAATGAAACTGTTTACTCACTCTTGTTACAGAATTTATTATTCAGCAGTAGCTGTTCTCTCACTGCAGTCTGCAGGCTGTAATTCACCAGTAGCTGGTCTCTCTCTATGGTCTGCAGGCTGTAATTCAGCAGCAGCTGGTCTCTCTCTGCTGTCTGGAGGCTGTAATTCAGCAGCAGCTGGTCTCTCTCTGCTGTCTGGAGGCTGTAATTCAGCAGTAGTTGGTCTCTCTCTTTTCTCAGGTTGGTGTGCTCTGTCTCTGCTTGGTGAATAACTCTGCTATCTGTCTGGAAAAAATAAATCATTATGGACAGTAGACAGAGAGTAAACAGACAGTGAACTAACTCACCCAGCTGATGGACCCCAGGAGTAACATCACAGTATTAATAGTAGAGGTGTACAAATATACCAAAAAATGTTTGATTGTTTTTAAAAGTTTGTACGATTCAATATCAATCTAGGAAATTTATGGTTCTATCTTTTAGGTTAATATACGTGTCTTTCTGTTTTCTAAGTTCATTTAAACAGTGGTTAAACATAGTTGTTGTGGACCCTATTGCCATGCAGATTCCAGTGTCACTTAAATGCCTGAGCGAATGAAATATTTGCTCAGTCAACAGAAGTATCACTGCACCTCCCTTGTCCTGATGTAAGCAGATGTCTAACGTTAGCTAGTAGCTACTTTAAACACGGTTACAAAGCAGGGTTGGCAACTTTGGTTAAGTCAAAGACAAAGTGAACTTTATCGTCATTTCCGCTATATACACATATACAGAGAGAAGGGACGACGTGGCTTCAGTTTTACATAGTACACAGAACAAAAGGCACATAGAATTCGCATATACTGTATAAATACAATATATTAGGGTTGGGACGATTATTCGACATAATCGACTAATTATGAAAATACGTCGACGTGGAATTTTAGTGCCAATGCGTTATGTAAAACTACGTAAATGTTTTGTAACTGCAATAGACTAAATGATAATTAGCTAAACGTATTGTAAGGGAAAGTATACTTTATCCCCTGTGGAGCACGTTAACGCTGTCCTTTCAAGAATCGCGTAATAAAACAGTCTGCTAATAAATGAACTTTACTGTCTACCTGATTATCTCTTCGCCATTCAAGAGCCACAATATTTTATTTATTGGACCTGCGTCATGGTTTTCATTTACAATACAGTACAAAGTTATTCCACTAATAAGCTGGCTAGTTGTTTCACTGCTGTCACCGTTAAAACTATATCAGTTATATACTGAATTCCGATATAGTTTTGTCTAATATCGCCCGTGCCAGCAGTGCCGCACTATTTTGTAAGGCATGCACTGGCCAATCATGTAGCACTTCTCTTATAAATATTAATGAGACATCTCCTACTACACCAGCAAAAGGGAAATTTGCTGTGAAACACGAGGCAAAAAACTGCTCGCACGCGGTCTATCAAAGTTTGGGAATACTTCAGTCATGACACCTTTTCTGCACCTTTACTGTAGCTGACGTTAATGACGCTGTTTCAGCCGTTTTATATTTTCGGTTCATTTATTCTGTCATGTAAGAGTGAGACAAATTATCGTTTACGACTACTCTTACACACTGTGGCCTAAATCGTTCCTTACTCACTGAAGTAAGCTTAACTATAAGCTACCTTTGCTAGTGTTTGTTAAAAACATGTTTCTTTAGTTATGAAATCATTCCATGTTTTAGCATCTATTTTAACATTAAAGTCAAATTGGTGTACTGAAATAATTAAGTAAAACTATTGCAGTGATTATTAACTTCCGTTTAACATAGAAGTCCAATTGAATCTCTCTTAAGATTTGCCTTTTTTGTTAATAATGCTCTAATGTTTAAGAAATGTTTTAATAAATTGAAATGTTAATGAGAATTTCAGTTTTGTTTGTTGGGGTCTAGGGGGTGAATTGTATTAAATGATTAACTTGAAAATAATTGCTTATCATTAAATTTATCATCAGATCAATCGAAAAATGAATTGTTAGATTAGTTGAATAATCGAAAAAAGGAATCGCTAGATTAATCGTTTAAAGAATAATCGTTTGGGACAGCACTATACTAAATACACTATAAAAAATAGACTCTAAACCTAAACATAAGTAGACAAAATAAAAATATAAACTCTGAAGCTAAGCAGACAAGGAAAATGTGGAAGTTAGTTACTGTTACAATACGCTGAGAACATGGCGGGAAAAGAAGTGCCAGAGTGCAGAAGTTAGGGTCAGACTCGGGATTTAATGGAAGAATCACACAATCAGGAGCACGAAAAGACACTAGTGATCAAAACGTCAATGACAGGACTGGGGAAAGACTAACAGGGAAGCATTTAAATACAGAAACTTAATCAGACAAAAACTAGGAACAGCTGGTACCATAGGGATTCCACACGTGGTTAACGGGAGGGTGGTACACAGGAGGAGCGGCACGATCGGGACGTGACAGTTACGTGCGGTGTTTCGATGGTATGTACAAGTATTACCATTCAATATCACATTTTGAACCAGACATATATTTAAATAATAACAGTATCTTCAAAAAAGTATGTTATAAGGAGAGAAAGATGTGCAATTTCATTGTGAGTAGTTCAATAATATGTGCAATTATGTAACAGAAAACAACAAAGATATATGTAAACAATGTTCATTAATGTGCAAATATTGCATCAGTCAAGTAGAGAAAAGCTGGAGTCACAATCACGGAATGTACTTTTTTTGTGCATAAGGTCAGTAGCGTTTGGTTAGCTGGCTGGCATGAGGTTTTCAAGAAATCTGCACACACATGCAGACACACTAACATGTATGTGACAGTTTTGCTATCATGTAAATAGTCTGTAGGGTTTGCAAACTACCCAAACGGTTTTGAGTTAGCTAATTTTAGGTTTATAATGGAAGAATATAGATTTGCCATCAGATTTCTTGCGTAAGCACGTGAGTCTGACATTGTGAGTGTCATACCAGATGCATGAAAGTTGGCAACCCTGAAAAAGCCTAAACCTGAACTGTGTGAAGTGTGGCTGTGTCTCACTCCAAAGGATTCTGACCCTGGAACTTTTTAAGAATTTTGTATTTATTTATATTCATATGTTTAACCCTTGTGTACATACACTATATCGCCAAAAGTATTGGGACACCCCTCCACATCATTGAATTCAGGTGTTCCAATAACTTCCATAGCCACAGGTGTATAAAATCAAGCACCTAGGCATGCAGACTGCTTCTACAAACATTAGCGAAAGAATGGGTCACTCTCAGGAGTTCAGTGAATTCAAGAGTGGTACCATGATAGGATGCCACCTGTGCAATAAGTCTATTTGTGAAATTTCCACCTTACTAAATATTCCATGGTCAACTGTTAGTGGTATTACAACAAAGTGGAGGCAGTTGGGAACAACAGCAACTCAGCCACGAAGTGGTAGGCCACATAAAATCACAGAGCGGGGACAACGTATGCTGAGGTGCACAGTGTGCAGAAGTCGCCAACTATCTGCAGAGTCAACAGCTACAGACCTCCAACACTTCATGTGGCCTTCATATTAGCTCAAGAACAGTGTGTAGAGAACTTCATGGAATGGGTTTCCATGGCCGAGCAGCTGCATCCAAGCCTTACATCACCAAGTGCAGTGAAAAGCATCGGATGCTGTGATGTAAAGCACACTGCCACTGGACTGTAGATCAGCGGAGACGTGTTCTCTGGAGTGAGCAATCACGCTTCTCTGTCTAGGTTTGATGGTTGCCAGGAGATCGGTACTTGTCTGACTGCATTGTGCCAAGTGTAAAGTTTGGTGGAGGGTGGATTATGGTGTGGGGTTGTTTTTCAGGGGTTGGGCTTGGCCCCTTAGTTCCAGTGAAAGGAACTCTTAATACTGCAGCATTCAAAGCCATTTTGGACAATTTCATGCTCCCAGTTTTGTGGGAACAGTTTGGGGATGGCCCCTCCATGTTCCAACATGACTGTGCATCAGTGCACAAAGCAAGGTCCATAAGGACATGGATGAGCGAGTCTGGTGTGGAGGAACTTGACTGGCCTGCACAGAGCCCTGACCTCAACCCAACAGAACACCTTTGGGATGAATTAGAGCGGAGACTGTGAGTCAGGCCTTCTCGTCCAACATCAGTGCCTGACCTCACAAATGCTCACCTGGAAGAATGGTCAAAAAGTCCCATAAACACGCTCCTAAACCTTGTGGACAGCCTTCCCAGAAGAGTTGAAGCTGTTATAGCTGCAAAGGGTGGACCAACTCCTTATTAAAGCCTATGTATTAAGAATGTGATGTCACATATTTCATATTTGTGTAAAGGCAGGTGTCCCGATACTTTTGGCAATATAGTGTAGCTTAACTGGCTAGTGACCCAGATGTCATGTTTACAGCTCTCCTGGGGTCAGGGTGGATGCCGTTCCCAGTGCATGCCATATTAGGGTCAGTGCGGATGCTGTTCCCAGTGCATGCCATGTTAGGGTCAGTGCGGATGCCGTTCCCAGTGCATGCCATGTTAGGGTCCGTGCGGATGCTGTTCCCAGTGCATGCCATGTTAGGGTCAGTGCGGATGCCGTTCCCAGTGCATGCCATGTTAGGGTCAGTGCGGATGCCGTTCCCAGTGCATGCCATGTTAGGGTCAGTGTGGATGCTGTTCCCAGTGCATGC